GCGTGAAAATCCCAGTAGAGCAGCAGTTTCTGAAATACTGAGACCAGCCTGTCTGGCAACAACCATGCTTCGTTCAAAGTCACTTAAATCATCTTTCCTCCCCATTTTGATGCTCGGTTTGAACTGCAGCAGATTGTCATGACCATGTCTACATTCCTAAATGCGTTGAGTTGCTGCAATGTGATTGGCTGATTAGAAAATTGGGTTAATGAGCAGTTGGACAGGTGTACCTAATAAAGTGGCCGATGAGTATATATATATATATATATATATATATATATATATATATATATATATAAAGAAAAGAAAAGAAAAGAAAAGAAAAGAAAAGAAAAGAAAAGAACAACTATCTGGTAAATTTTGTAAGCAGCCGTTGGCAGATGTGACAAAATTTTGGATTTAGGCCCTGTTCAAAAAAGCTGAAAATAATTGGTCAAAAAAAACTACAATCAACATCTAATGAGCCTACTAATAAAAGCTTCATACCTCTCCAACATCATAAATCCACACTCGTCCCTCTGAGTCTCCAACAGCCACCTCTCGGCCTCCGGAGGCCCAGCGGACGCGGTTCAGAGCTGGGGCTCCTTCTACTGTCACACTGGCGGACGGCACCTAGACAAGACACACAAATATACAGCTGAAGTCAAACTTATTAGCCCTCTTGTTCAATTTTTTTTATATATTTCCCAAATGATGTTTAACAGAGCAAGGAAATTTCCACAGTATGTCTGATAATATTTTTTCTTCTGGAGAACTGGAGAAAGTCTTATTTGTTCTATTTCATTTATAATAAAAGCAGTTTTTATTTTTTTATTTTAAACAGTTTTAACATTATTAATCAATTTAGCAATATTTTTTCGATTGTCATTTTGACTTCCCACAAATAAACCCAAGTATTGTGTTGCTTCAGCTCTTTTCAGATAAGTAGTTTGAACAAACAGAGTGTGCAGTGTTATAACTCTGCTGCGTTTCTCTTTGTAAAACACGTGTTCAGTGTGCTCCATAACTCTTGCTGGATATTATAAGTCAAGCAATGTAAACATATTGAGCTCTTGTGTTCAGTAATGTTGTAAGGATGTCTGAGCTCTAATAACGAGAGCAGCTCTACTGGAAACCATTAATGATTTCATAAATCAGCGTCAAAAAAAAGTTGAAAAGATGCATGTGCGAGTTTGACTTCTGTCTGTTACTTATGACAGTTCAGAGCGGCCTGACATGTGTTGTCAGCAAAGGCGAAGTCTAATACAAAAGCTTCCTCGCGTCAGAACAGAAAACCGCAGCCTGAGAGCGATTAGCGATCCGCTTCCTCCCAGAGTCAAACTGCAAGGTTCAATTGGCTGCGAGCGTCTCTTGGCGTAAATTGGAAGCAGGCAAGCTCTGTTAATGGTGTTACAGGGCTGAGTTTCTCTGCGAGTTGACAATGGAGAACTGTTGGCTCAAGCATGATCTGTTTACGCATGTGTCGGCGTGTGCGTCAGCGAGCGTGCCATTCAGGTGTTTTGGATAATAATATGCATTGTTCCTGAAGAAACACACACACTTAAAAGACCAAGTTCATTCATTCAAAACATTCATTTTGACTATAAGGAAATTGATTTTTAACAACTGAGGGTCTTAAATTATTATATACAGCTGAAGGCAAAATTATTAGCTCTCCTGTGACATTTTTATTCTTTTTATATACCAAAATGTGATGTAGTGAACCCAGAGTGGGCCCACTACGAGGCGTGAGAGCCTGACAACACAAATCCCCCCCCCCTCCCCCAACCCTGCCCCCCTTTAAAAAAAAAGACAATCCAAAAACAATGGCCGAACCCAGAAGTGTAAAAAAAAAAAGATGGCATTTCTTTACAAGGAATATAGTCCAGTGCAAAAATATACATAGGGCTCTATTTTGACGATCCAGGTGCAAAGTTCAAAGCTCAGGGCGCAAAAGTATTAAGGGCGTGTCTCAATCCACTTTTACTATTTTAACGATGAAATAAAATCTGCTTTGCGCCATGGCGCATGGTCTAACAGGGTTGAGCTTATTCTCTTAATGAGATATAGGTGGGTTTTGAGAATAAACCAACCACAGTCTCATCTCCCATTCCCTTTAAGAGTCAGTTGTGTCACGCCATAGCGCATTTGCTATTTACATGGCGGACTTTGTAAGAAAACAGTTAAACAGAGCATCTGCAGCACAAGAATGAGAGATGAGCCTCCTCATTCTTTACTTTTACTCTCTTTCATGGATAAGGAAATGTGTTGTACAGACATCCATTAGCCTATGCATAATAATTTCGTTTGTTAAGCGCAAATATTTGTTTCAAAACTATTTCTAAATTCAGTTCTAATTTCCAGCCAACGAATAAATTAACAATAATAACGAAGTGTGATCAAACAACTGAGTTCTATCCAAACACACATGCTGTGCCCCATATAGTCTGAAACCTGACAGGCGGGGAAAACTAAGCTGTTTTTAATAAAACAAATATAAATATGGATATAATAAATAATACTGCTAATAATAATAACATTACACAAAAGCAAATTGTCATGAATAAACCCAAAAAAGCACCCAGAGATGAAGAAGGTATAAAGTATGGTATTTATATTTACGTAGGCTAGAAAATAATATGTTTTGTAATATTTTAATCATTTAATTTTTTTTTTCATTTGTAAAGATATTTGTGTATTGCTGCAATGCCTGATTGTATTAAGCAATGTTTAAGCAGGGCGCACAACTAACTTGGAGGAGGTCTAAAGAGGACTTTAGACCTCCTCTTAGCTGGTCTACTGTGCAGTCTATTATAGTTCCTCAAAATAGCAATGTGCCAGCAATACACCTTAACACACCTCCTTTTTTTAGACCAGAACGCCTATGGGCGCACATATGAGCACAAATGCATTTGCTATTTAAACAGCGTGGTGCAAAACAACAAATTGACTCATTGACTCTAGCAAACAAAAATTGCGTCGTGCCTTGCGCCTCATTGCGCCGGGTGTATGATAGGGCCCATAGTGTCCAGTTGAAGTCAGAATTATTAGCTCACCTGAATTATTAGCCCCCATGTTTATTTTTTTCCCCAATTTAACGGAGAGAAGATTTTTTAACACATTTCTAAACATTTCAGTTTTAATAACTCATCTCTAATAACTGATTTATTTTATCTTTGCCATGATGACAGTTAATAATATTTGACTAGATATTTTTCAAGACACTTCTATACAGCTTAAAGTGACATTTAAAGGCTTAACTAGGTTAATTAGGTTTACTAGGCAGTTTATTCTGTAGACTATCAAAAAATTTTTAGCTTAAAGGGGCTAATAATATTGTCCTTAAAATATTTTTTAAAAATTATTAAAAAAAACTAAATCAAACAAAAAAGACTTTCTCTATAAGAAAAAATATTATCAGACATACTGTGAAAATTTCCTTGCCTCTGTTAAACATCATTTCAGAAATATTAAAAAAATAAAATAAAAATGGGGCTAATAATTCTGACTTTGACTGTATATATTTATATAATATTTTCATTTGCTTGAGTTAAATTATTCTTTATAAATGCCGACTTTATCACTGTTAATAATATGGAGTCTTCAGCAGGTCTCAATACTGTTTTTATACTGTATATTATAATACTGTATTTATTGGATCTCCATTAGCTGTGCCAATACAAACAACATCTAAAAAATATCTATTTATTTCAATAATTTTAATTTAAATAATAAATTTACACTCACTTTTGCTGTTATCTAAATTTTAATATTGTGCTGTCTAAATTCTCTCAATGCACAGAATCCAGCTGATCTCATTATTATTTTTAAATAGGACTAGATTTGATTTGACTAGATTTGATTTGACTAGTGCATGACAAGTGGTCACCAGCTGATAAGTTTCATCAAAAAAAGCCTTTTTTTAAATGAAAGATAAAAAACAACAACATTCAAGCATCACAAACGGGTTTAGAACGTAAACAAGCTCAGGTTTGAGATCAAGCTGATGTTAGCACATGATTTACAATGATGGAGCATTTATTGGTCACAGCAAATCTCAGAACAGTGTGTGTGGGATGACAGTGGGTGTGTATTTCTCAGTGGACAGTCAGAGCTGATCTCAAAACTGTGCATGTGTGTGTGTGTGTAATGACAGTGGGTGTGTATTTCTCAGTGGACAGGCAGAGCAGTTCTCATGTCACACAAGACAGACGGCTACAGTCTCGTCCAGCACCGCGTGTCTGTCATATACAACAATCTCTTAGCATGTGATGTACAATGACAATCCATCATCAGTGATATACGCTGCTGGATCCGGCATATGACAGTTAATATGAGCTCACCATTCTTCATGTCAACACACTGCGCTTAATCAATGTTTCTGCCTCATTTTCTGAAAAATCATTAAAAAATTCAAGAAAAACTGTAAAGATGTTAGTAATCAATTTCATAAAATTAAAGATTAATAGGTGACTCAGTGGATAGCACAGTCATCTTACAGCAAGAAGGTCCCTTGTTCGAGACCCGGCTGCGCCAATTGACATTTCTATGTGGAGAGTTTGGATGTTCTCCCCGTGTTGGCGTGTTAAAACATATACTTGATAAGTTGGTGGTTCATTCCGCTGTGGCAACCCCTATTAAATAAAGGGATTAAGCCGAAAAAAAATTAATGAATGAATGAAGATTAATAGTGATCCTTGGACCAAAAGAGTAAGCATAAAAGTTTTTATAGTTATTCTTTTGAAATTGTATTGTATTGTATTTTTGTATCAGAAAACCATGACTAAAGAACATTAAATGTATTACAGTTTTTCTAATTAAAACATTTAATGCAGTAAATCAGAGCAGTACAATGTGTAAAGCTGAGCTTTAGAGAAGTAATCTTTTAGAACTATACTAAATTTTTATATTATCTTTCTACAAAGGCTAAATGCAGATAAAAAAAGCTAAATCTGTCTTGTTTTGGCCATGATTTAATGATATCTAAACAAAAAAAGTCAATTATATTAAGACTTATTTTTAGAGAAATTGTATGTAATTAAGCTTGTTTACTTTTACTGTATAAACTTTTATTACATTTTTTAATTTATTCAAAAATGTAGCACATGTCTCTGAAATCACAGCCTTTATTTTGCTGATTTAACTAAATTTCACCATGGCAGAGAAATATTTTTTGTTTTATCTGTGATTTTATTAAAATTTTCTAAATATTTTATATTTTAGATCAAATTTATATATATGTTTTATGATCATACAATTAAAGACACTGCAAAAACTGGGCAAATAACCTAATTTGACTGATTTTGGGAGTGAATATAATATAATATAATATAATATAATATAATATAATATAATATAATATAATATAATATAATATAATATAATATAATATAATATAAATATGTCTATATATATATGTATGAGCAGTATCACACTCGTAGCAGTACGATATGGCTGTATTGATGATATACAGCCACATCACACTGCTACAAGTGTGATAATGCATTTATACAACATTTCGAAGGCAAAATTGTGTATATAAAAAAGAAAATCAAACACAGAGAGTCTAAAAAACCTTTTGTAAGAGGAACTACTTTCTTCCGCCGATGCACTGAATCTCCGAAATTATAAATATTTAAAATAAGCACTATCCTTATAAACAAACTACATAGTTGTTGTCTAAACAACTACATTTTCTCCTAAAAAGCCTCAAAAGTACATTATGTTGTCCAACAGCTGCAATATTTCTCAAACTGTAGTCTTCGGCTTGCCGCTCGTGTGGGCGGAGTAATACACAAGGGTGAAGAGGTAGTACGAGTGCTGATATTACTTAAATATCTCACGGCTATCAGCCAATTAGATTTGGGAACCAAACAGAACTGCTGTATGCATATGATAAAATCCAGATATTTATTGTTTTAAATGTAGTAACTATCTTAATTTTCCTTCTCAGCCGAAACTTGTTTTAAAAACACTGATAAAATGACAAAGCACGATATAGTCAAATATTTTCCATATATGTTCTTATATCATATTTTCTGAACCTGAGCTGTGATTGTCCATAAATCTGGAGAGTTTGCAGCGCTCGGCTGGTTTGCAGCCCATGGGAACTCAATGACTCTGGAATGGCGGCGAGAAAGAGGAATCCGCACACATCGGAGTAATTAGTCTCAAGCTTGCAGACTATGTGTGTGTGAGCTGTCAAGAGCAGATTTAAGCGCGGCCTGCGGGGAGACGCCCACACAGAGAGGAACTTGTTGTTGTTTTGATGCGTCTCTGGCCTGGCGGGATCTGAACCGAGAGTTTCTCCTTACCTCAGTGTCGTTGTTCAGGTTCCAGAGATCCAGGCGTCCCATGCCGTCCACAGCAGCGAAGAGTGAAGGGTGAACCGGAGACCACATCACATCGTACACATAGTCTGCGTTGTCCTCAAACGAGTACAGCGGCTTGTTTTGCTGACGGGACACACACAAAAAAACAAGATGAAAACAAAATATGGTGTGAGTACACTCAAAATAATACTTATTCAAACTATTTATTCAGAGTGAGCTGAAACAACCACTCCAAAGTTCATACCTGTCAACATTGGGATGTGAAAATAAGGGATATGGCCACCATAATAAGGGATTCCCCAAATCCCCCTTAAAAAAATCCCCAAATTACTAAATTCATTTGCTCATTTTTAGCTGTTTCATTGTAAATAAACAGTTAAATGATCAGTAATATGTTTAAAAATGATTATTAACAAAAGAAAAATAAATATATACATTCGCAGCAATTACATTAGCAAACAGTTCAGCTTATTAAAATGAATAGCTATTATAATGAAACAGAATCAAGCTATCAAACTCATTAGCCGTTTCTCCACTGTATAACTTACACATTCTGATTAAAGAGCAACGAATGAATCTCGCATTTAATAAGATTTTTTTTTTACATTAAATAACAGGTGTCACTTTAAAAATGCACACATCTAATGTTATAATGAAAGCATTCAACTGCTTTCCTTACTTTTTATGCTCATTTAAGAAGAAATTAGTTGTGTTTGGGGAAAAAAAACACCAAGATCGACATCTTTATATGTTATTATTATTAATTATGTGTGTGTGTCTGTTTAAACACGCACCCAAAAGCCAGACTTTCGCTCCGCTTCAAATCTCGTGTACAGAATCCGTTTGGGAAACAGCATCTGTTTATCACTATGGAGCACCGTCAGCTGACAGTCATGCACCATTAAGTTATAAGACTGTTATAAGTTATGTTTTGAGGATTGTATAGGATGGGTGACAGCTCCTGTAATCAAAAGGCAATGGAATCTCACCGTTTTTAATATTTATTTATAAGTGTTTTCATGTTTTCATTCTTAAACAAAGCGAAAGCACAGACGACTCACGTTTTAGAGCAAGGGCGACCCCTGGTGGTTCGGCGGTATAGGGAGGCTCGGCTGTTCAGAGAAAGACTGAAAATACGGGAGAAATACGGGAAAATACCTTTACGGGATGATAGCGGGATAGAACCGTAAAATACGGGAGAATCCCAGGAAAAACGGGAGGGTGGACAGGTATGCTCCAAAGCCGGAAGCAAATGTTCAGATTTTAATTTGAAGATCACCAAAACAAACATTTATTTTCACATGCTCTGGATTATCTGTTCACCTACAGAACAACAATGTGCGCTCGCAAGATAAACATTGTTAAATGTGATTTCATATAGTCTTTAAAGTGTCTAGTTACTGTCGTCTAGAACAGTGTTTCCCAACCATGTTCCTGGAGGCACACCACATTTTGGGTGTCTCCGTTATCATTAACTTCAGGTATTTGAGTCTCTTCTTATGTCCTGATGAGTTGATTCAGGTGTGTTTAATTAGGAAGGGGTTGAAAATGTGTACTGTTGGTGTGCCTTTAGGAACAGGGTCGGGAAACGCTGGTCTAAAACACTCAGAAAATAACTTTTGCTGATTGTTTAAAGCGAGTTGAAGCAACACAACTGTTAAGTTTTTTGGGGGAAAATGTAATTGTTTTATGTTAAATCCACTTAAATTTGTCATACTCAGAGAGAAAAACGCAAAGGCATTTGCTGTCAAAACAAAACATTGTATTTAGACTGTTCAAAACAACGATGAGCCGAGGCTTACGACTCAAAAGTGATCAGTGAGGTGATCGCTCCGCGAGAGCAAAAGGCAAACAAGCAACCAGTGTCCAAAATGTCAGGCGTGAGAGAAGTCAGGCAGGCGGCCATCGATTGGGAGGCAGATGGGGCAGCGGAGGACAGACAAGCTCAGGGTCAGACAGGTGAAGTTGAAAGTAGGTGGCTGGTCGTGGTGAATCCAAGAGAAAAAAAAATGGCAACCAAGCAAAAAGAAAAAGAACAGTCAAAAACCATAAATGACAATGTCAGGAACGAACAAGACAAGATAACATAGTGAAGAGCAAGATAGCCTGAATAACGACAGGACGCACTAGCAACTGTAAAGTGGAAAAAGGAGAGCTTAAATAGCAAGGAAATTAGAGGAGACAGGTAACAGGGACAGAGAAAAGAGGAGAAACAGAGAGAGATCAAGCCAGTGTCCTGACATAAATTTGTTAAAACCATATATCTTCACTTGATGGATTTGTGTTGGGATAACATGAATAAATTGCGTGGAGTCCTGCAGTTTTCAGTGCTTTACTGTAATGCTGGGTTCTACACAATTCCTTCATGTCGTCCCAACACAAATAGATTCAGTTAACTTCATAGTTCTGACCAATTTAAGTGGATTTAACATAAAACAGTTAAGTTGTTCCCCCCAAAAAAACCTTCAGAAATGTGTTGTTTCAACTCGTTTTTAATAAGTAGTTTAAACAAGCAGCATTTTCTGGGTGTTTCAGACCAACGTTTCCCAACCCTGTTCCTGAAGGCACACCAAGAGTACACGCTGGGGTTGTGACGGTTGTGAAATCATGAAAAAAGGGGGGGTCTCAGTCTCGAGAACACAGTCGAGGGGACGGGCGGGGAATATCTGGCAACACTGTTCTTAGAGCACATGGCAGAGGGCACGAAGTTTCAGTGTATTGTAAATGGTTAGTGAAAAAAAAAAGGGGGGAGGGGTATCTGTTCTGCTCTGAAAACCAACCCAAGCTCATTCTGGAAACGTAGCCCCGCGGACGTTTCTGGAGGAGCGATTTACGTGGCCGGAGGAACGTAAAGGCCGCGTTTAGTTTTTTTTCCGAGCGAACGCCGCGGGGCGGTGTGGCGCCGCTCCGTCCCTCCTCTTCGCGCTCGCCGGCCGATGGCTCGCCTCCGAGTGGAGGGCTTTCCCGATGCAATCAGTTTGTCCGCTTAGCTCACAGCGTTGCGTCGGCGGAGGCCCCGGAGGAGGAGGAGCCGGCTGCGGTAGACGATGACCGGGATCGAGTCCGGGGAACAGCAGGTTTCGGAAATCAGGTAAGACGAAAAACGGAATCCGAAAAATAAGGGCCAGAATGCGGCAGGATCCGAAAACGCGGTCAAAACGCGATCGAAGACGAGGGCTTTTGCTTTTTTTTTTTCTGGACGGCTTTTGCGAACCGTCGCTCGGGTTTAGAGAAGGAGGAGGAGGAAGAGGAGGGCGGCCGAGTCGGCCGATCCGGCGGCTTTTCGCGCGAGAGCCGCCCGAGACGCGAAAAAGCGTGCACAGCGGCCTCTCATGAATCCGCGAAAACAAAAACCGCTCGAATACGTACCTCCCGGGATGTAAATCGCGGTCCGCAGAAACGTCCGCGGGGCTACGTTTCCACAATGAGCCCGGGTTGCTTAAAACAGTTTGACCTTAAAGAGCTAAATTGTACATTTAGCGATAAACATGGGAAAAAAATTGCCAAAACTGTAAAGTAATGTGAATTTAGGAGTACGATTAATACAATTAAAAATTTGAATCGTTTTTATTGGACTCTGAGTAGGCTTTTCAGGCTTGGGTTGAAGGACTCTGCTAAATGCTGGAGATGTGAAAGTGAAGGAGACTTGATGCCTGCCCTGTGGTCCTGAATTCTGGGTTAAAGTGCATAATTATGTTCAGGATGTTTCTGGATGCTGTTTTTCTTTTTGTCCTAACGTATATGTACTGGGAGACCTGTTCCTGTTGGGATCTGGTGTGAAGATGTCTGAGTGGATTCAAACAAGTATTATGATTGGAAGAAAAAGTCATCATGAGGGGATGTTCAGCAGGTCCACCATCATTTCAAGAATGGGTTGTAGAACAAGGGAAGGTGGCAGCATATGAAAAATGACATATACATTACTAGATAAATTGGATGTTTATCAGAGAAGATGGGGAAATTATTTGGCAGTTTTGGAGCATGATTAAGGTGTCTGTGGTGAGACGCACAGTGAAAGTGTAATTATCTTAATTGATTTATTTATGTATTATTAATATAGTATTGGTATTGTATTTATGCATTTTTTAAATTAATTTTTACTAGTATTATGTTCTATATGTGTGCGTTTTTAATTTTTTTATTTATTCATTGAGTCTTTATTGTATTTAGATATTATTTATCTGTATTTACTGGATTTATGATAGCAACATCTAATGACAGCCACTGCTGCTGTTGGGGAGGGGAGGGAAAAGGGGAAGTAAAAAGGAGGTAAAAATCTGTAAACTGATTGTACAATAAATTACTGAATAAAATAAAAAAAAATAATCATAAAAAATTTTAAAATCTTGGGGAAATAAGATAAAATAATTAAAATAATTAAAAATTTAACAGGAGGCCTATTTCTGACTGCAACTGTACAGCGTGATATTGCACAGCCCTACACTGCGTGCAAGTTTTGCAGGAGAGGGTGAACAGGATGAATAAGAAGGTGTGGGGTTGTAAGGGGACAGAAAGAGAGAGAGAGAGAGAGAGAATGAGAGAGAGTGGCATCGGCGGTAGACAGAGTGGCGCTGCTGCAGCCCTGGGGCCCGTCTGGGATCGGCTTAATTAAAACCTTTGCACATTCAAGCAGTGTCATAAAAAAACTGGAGATGAAAGTCTCTCCTAGGTGTACTGTAACCTAAGTGTAACAGCTGTCTGTGGCGTACAAGAAAAGAGAATAAGAGAGAGACAGAGAGAGAGATGCTGAATGTGTTCTCAACAGGTATGAGGAGACGGCTGGGCGGAGCAGTGCAGACCCACATACACTGATGAAGACATGCTGGAGAATGCGTGTATAAGTGTGTGTCACTGTAACACATCAAAATACACCACAGTCGACACATCCTTCATTACAAACACATTTCTTTTTATTATCCGCCTAAAAACACTGTCTGATATGATTTATGCTATTAAAATGCTACAAATTTGATGTGTTATGAATTACTATTTATTATGATGAAACACATGGTAATAATATTAAGTTTATGAAATAAGTGTTTTTTCATATTATAATGATCTCAGAAGGATCACCTTGCAGTTTTAAATTCAGAGTTAAATGACAGTTTATCACCTATTATTGG